CTTTGCTGAAGCCATGTCGCAGCCTTCAGAGCTGCTGGCGTGTGATGGCGGCGTTGTGCGTCTCGAAGGAAACACGGCCCTGCGCCTCCCCAGTGGAGCCTCAGTCTGTGGGAGAGGAAACGAGGGCACAGGGTGGCAGCCCGAGGGAGGGAGGGGTGGGATTAACTGCTTGCTTTATGCAATTGAAAGCGGCTAGGAGGAGGATGTCGAGGATGACATTTCTCTTTATAATGAAGATAATTTAATGACTGCTATTAAACCCTAAGCTTCCCTCTCACGTGGCCAGCTTTTAGCCACACACTGCTGGATTCTGTTGTTCCTTGCACACAGACCTGGCAGCCGCCGGTCGGAGACACCTCGGCTTCAAAGTCTCATCTTTTGAACCCCATCTGGTTTGAAGTAGTCTAACAAGCAGGAAAGAGGATGGAATCAAAGGCTCAGTCTGTGGGTTTGGAAATACAGAAAATGTGTGAGGTGACACCAGAGAAAACCCATCCTCCCCTCTCCAGCTCTGCTCCTCCCAGTGGCCTCTGTGGGAGGCAGTGTGTGTGTGGGTATGGGGGTCTTTCAGCGCTCAAGGGGTGGGGTCCGTCTGTCCCCAACTTCTGGGGCAGAGGGAGACGTGTCTGGATGCAGACGTCCGGGATCTATCACTAGAGTCCACTGAGGAGGAGAGAGGAAGTGCCCCTGGCACTCATCCTTGAGTGGCCAGGGGAAACGGGGGCCCAGGGCCAGACCAGCCTCACACTGTGCGTCCAAAATGCCCAGGGGGGTGACTTCCCTCAGCCCCATCATCCGAATGCTTCCTAGACACAGGAGGGAATGGGTCGGTCGAACATTGGCCCTTCCCTACCCATGTCTGCCAGACCCCAGGTTGGGGTGCACACCTGCCATGCCTGGAATTGTAGCTTTCATCCGCCAGGATTTAACGGTTGCTCGGCCACTACGCGCTGTCCTTGGCAGCTCTGATCACATGGGTCTCTGGAGGGCAGGGGCTTTGATCTGCAGCCCCCTCCCCTTGTCATCAGGGTCTGTCTCCAGCTGGGGGGGTTCTCCCTACAGCAAGGCAGGGGTGGGGGGAGCGGCTGGAGCCACACAACTGCCCGAGTCGGTTCTCCATCAGTGACTGCACACAGCTGGGCTATCCCGCTGCCCCACAGCCAGAGTCCAGCAGGATCAAGTCCCTGTACCCCATTCCACAAGATTGCATTTTGGGGGACCACATGTGCCTCCCCAGGGAGACTGTGCCGCCAGTTTCTCCAGTTGCTGCCTGGCTGGCTCCTTCATCTGCTCTCACTATTACCACAGTGCCCTTCAGTATCCTCGGGCCTGCGTGCCTGCCGGCAGGGGGCGTGATTGGCCCTGGGGTCAGCTCCAGAGCTTCCTTTCGCGGGCTGGGTGGCAGCAATGGGACACAGAGGCCAGCCCGCCAGCCCACTGCCCTCGTGCCCGGGCCGTTTCCTGCTCAGGGCGGCACCACGTGTGCAGAGCAGAACTGCTCCAGTGCATTCTCCAGCGGTGACCTCCCAAAAGCGAACCAAGGGGACTTTGAACTGCCCACCGCCTGGTCCATAGCCCGCTGTTGTACTGTTGACACCTCCCAGGGCCTCTGCCATCCCCACTCGGTGGGGGCCCTTGTGACCTGTGGCTGGGAGCGTTTTGAGAAAGAGACAGAGGGCACTGTGCCACCAGCTGGGTGGCACCTGGTTCTTGTAGAGAGCCAGCTGTGGCATCATGAGAAATCTCCTGGGACTTCAGGAGTTGCCCACCATACCTAGGTCCGGGGACACTGATTTCCTATAGGAAAGCTTCCCATCACAAACAAACAAACAAAGTAAACTCATTGCCATCGAGTCGATCCATTCTGACTCATGGTGATCCTATAGGACAGAGTAGAACTGCTCTGTGGGTTCCTGAGACGGTGACTGCTTACGGGAATAGAAGGCTTCTTCGTTTTTCATTGAGAAGGGAAGACAGGTGCAGCGAGTGCCTGGCTCCAGTCTCACCTGACCCCAATCCAATGTGGCCCCCCCAGGCAGATCTGGCTCTGGCTCTGCCTGCTGCCTCTGGGAGCCATGAGCTGGCCTGTCACAGGGTTGTCCCACACACCCCAGGGTCTGGAGTTCCCTAATCCCTTCGTTGGGACCCAAAGCCTGCCCTCTCCCTACAGGGGCAGAGGTCCTTGCCGGGCATTTCTCCAAGGATGTCAAAGACTTAGAGCTGAGAGTTAGGGCTGGGCTGCTGATGATAATGTCGACAGTTTGAAGCCATCAGTTGCTCCACAGGAGGCAGATGTTCCTGTGAAGATTCCTAGCCTTGAAACCCTATGGAGGATCACATGAGTCAGAATCAACTGGAAGACAGTGTGTGTGTGTGTGTGTGTGTGTGTGTGTGTGTGTGTGTGGCGAGGGGAGGGCGGTCATTTGTTTGAGAGGCCCAGGGCTTGATGACTTGAGTTTCTTTCTCTCCAGGCTGCTGGCAGCTGGGGAACTAGAGGCAAGCTTGGGGCCTGGGCGCAGGGCCTCTGGGCTAACTGTGGAAGCCAAAGAAAGGGCTGGGTGGGGCAGGGGACCATGGCCAAAGTTGGGAGACACTAGGGCTGAGCACCACACAGCACAGAGGCTGGAGACAGGTGCGCTGGGTGGAGGGGCAGCGAAGGTGCTCCCAGGGACATGAAAAACCAGCCCAACGCTGCCAGCACCTGCTCCCTGGTGCACCCCGAACACACATTTAAAGAACAAATCAGTGAATGAGTGATAAGGTGCCCCTGCCTAGCTGCATGGCAGAGCAGCCCCTGCCCTCCCTCATGGGTGAGCTGGGGGAGGGAAGAATACGATCTCACAGGGTGATTCGGGTCAAGAGGTGACCCCTACGCCTGCCCGTGGAGGGGTTCTGAGAGCTGGAACACAGGCAGCAGATGCAAACTGAGCAGACCTGGGGAGGAGGCGGCTGAAGGACGTGTCAGGGAGCTTCAGGGATACAAGAGTGGAACCAGGAGTCCAGTGGGGTTCTGACAGCAGGGTTTCAATTTCTAGGAGTTCTTGAAGCGGGAACTGGCTCATTTATGGGGTTGTGCATGAGCGCTGGGCACCACAAGGCACATGTACCACTAAACTCTCATCTTGGATGGCAGCTAGTGAGGAACTGAATGTTAAAGGCAGTGAGCTTTTAAGTATTCAGAATGGATGCTAGTGTTGACTGGTCACCTTGGACAGCATCTGGCTCTCTCTTAGTCTTGGTGACAATGGGGGAGTGCTGTGCCCAGTGTGGGGCTGTGTTTTTCCCAAGCTTACCAGCTCTCAGGGATTCTGAAGTGGAGTGCCTTGTTGTTAAGGTTCACCCACAGGACTACTTAGACGCTAGTAGCTGCCAGGCCTTCAGGAGTGGGCAGGGAGGCCCTGAACCCAGGCATAGGTCCCTATGATGGCCCAGGACCCTGAGGGAAGTCCATGCAACAGTCCAAGCCCCAGACCACCATGTCCTGCCGGCCTGAAGCATCTCCAATCTCCTGGGGGACAGGGGACTGTAGCAGTAGTGACCAGCCTGTCTGTTTTCTGTAAGAGGGCTGACCCCAAGAGGGTTCTGCATTCCTGGGACAAGATGCAGAGAGAAGCAGGTCTGCATATCCTTCCGTTAGGGTGTGTTCCCTAGCTGTGTCTGTGCAGACGGTGGGGCAGGCGTTGTTGTTGTCACAACCTAGGAGTTGGGATGGGCCTCCCTTCCTAGAACCGACCTCATGGGACGTGCTAAGCCCCCTATTACTTCATGCCACCAGGGCAAACCTGGCCGCCTAGAAGCACTCCTGAGTCCGGGCCTGTGTGAGCTTCCCCAAAGAAATGTCCATAGTGGAGCAAGTGTTGAGCAGGCTGGAGGGCAGCCACAGGCAGATCCATGGGGACAGGCAGGAGGAGGGGTTCAGAGCCACGTCAACTTGCATTTCCCGTCATCTCCAGGTCAGTAGCCTTGATGCTGGCCACCCATCAGCCCTTCCTGCTTGTATCAGGAAGGGTCGGATCAAAGACTTCCTCTGGCCACCGTGTTGAGTTAGCCGGGAAAAGTCTCTCAGCCACCTGGCTGGGGAAAATGCTTAACAGACAGGTTTCAGAATGACTCATGGTCACTGCGATTGTGTCCCTTGCCCAGGTCACTCCATGGGGATGCTCCAGGAGCATTAAGTCGATAAACAGCAGGAGCTGCAGGTGGGGCTAGGGCCAGGCCAGAGGGCCTGGGGTAGGAGGGGGTCAGTGAATTTTCCTGGCAAGCCATGGCGGGTGTCAAGTCTGGAGTTTATGATGCTGAGTGTGTAAATGTTAAATGGGCCCCAGGTCCAAGTTCAAGTTGAGATCAGAGTCACCACCATCAAGTGGATTCCACTCACATCGACCCTAAGGGGCAGATCAGAACTGCTCCCTAAGTCTCTGAGGCTGTGAATCCTTATGGAATAGAGAGCCTCATCTTTCTGCCTCAAAGTGGCTGGTGGGTTTGAACTGTGGACCCTTCTATGAGCAGTCAGCATTTCATGGGTTGGAAATTTTTGAGGGAAAAGCTGAGGACACACAATTAGGGTGGAGGCCTTACCCAAGGTCCAAAGGAGGGTGGCATGAAGGGGTGAGGACAGTCTGCCAGCCTAGAGGACACAGGGATGGGGTGGGGAGGGGCAAGGAAAGAGGAAGGGGTAGGCTTTGGCTGAGTGGGGTTCAGGGGCTAGGAGAGAGAATACAGAAAGGCTGGGTAGAGAAGGGCTCGTGGGACAACTCTTAAAGGGGACCACTGAGACACAAACCACCTGAGTTCTCCAGGTCCCCATCCGTGGTGACCCCAAAGTCAGCCATTGTGTCGCCCATAACTCGCTCCCCGGATCCTCCGCGCCATTTACATGGTCGCGAATAAGTGGACACAAGGCGGTTTCCAAAAGAGGCGAATCCTTTTATCAAGTCGGCGCCAGGCGCGGTATCTACACATATCTACACATATCTACACGTATCTACAGCGGCCGCAGACTAGGCAATCCCGTCGTCTACACCGCAACTACCGGCCGGCTGGACCCGGCCGGGCCGGGGCGACGCGATCTGGAAAGAACAATAAATAGCGTTTCCTTCCGCCTGGGACGGGCTCTTTGGCACTGGCGGGCACAGACCCTCGGGGCTGGGGAGGATTCCGCGGTGTCTCCCGGGACTGGGGGGTGGGCGGGGGTTAACAGGGTCTTCGATGGCCCTTGGGGCTGCGTGGACGGCTCCCGGCGGCCGCAGGGCAGTGCGAGGCCACCTGCCGGGCCCCTCGTGTCGCGGGGCTCCAGCTGCGGCCGCCTTATCTGGGGCAGTAGTCGTAGGAGCCGGGCGCGGCTCCGGCCG